CAGCCACTGCTCTGACCCCCTCACAGCTGTTGTGTGTCAGTTCTGAGGAGGGTGCCTTATGCTGGTTTAGGATTACAGAATCTAGTATTGAGTTTCAGTTTTTAGCGAACAATGGCTGCTCGTTCTGAGGTATGCTATACGATTTGGTATATTTCTGAGAGGACGACGTGGGTGCTTTATAATTCACAGAAACTTGTGCAAAAACGGCATACTTGGCACACTCTTTCTTCTTAAAGAGGAATGCATCTCATTTTCTTTATTTCTTATTTTCCCAGCAGTTTCTTTTGATACCTGCTATTTAGATTTTTCCACCCTTCTCTTCACATCTCCACACTGTTTGCAGCAGGAGCAAAGAATGTTTTTACCATTCTTTCCTAAGGTATAAGAATTGCTCAATGTTGGAACAATGTGTTCCAGCAGCATGGAGCTGTGGTACACAGAGGCAGTGTTGAGAAGTAGTTAAGGACGTGCTGACTCTGGTGAGACGTGTGGGTTGTCAGGAGGGAACTTGGACAGATTACTCAGCCTTTTCTTTTTTCTTATTTCCTTCAGTTTCCTTTGTAAAATAGGGTTGAAGAACCTATATCATTGTGTTATATGACAGATGAATTGGTATATATACATACATTCTTATAGAGAATTAGAAATTATTTCTGCAATCATTCTGAAAGTATTCCTATTATTTAAGTACTAAAGTCATTCCATACCTTGTTTATGCAGCTAAGAACCTGACATTTATCTTGGGGGGTGGTTCACACCACACCTGGATTCAATTCTTATACCCTCCTGGAAGCTGAGTGTGAAGTATAGTATATTTGGATGGTACAGATTGCCCAAGGATCCTGCCAGGGATGTACCCCAGTGTTAGCTGTCTGGGCTGGAGGGAACACGACACACAAAGAGAAGAGGAAATAAATATAAGTCAATCTTGATCAAGTTAAATGGCTATTATATAAATAGTTGCAATAGGAAAGTCATGAACCATTGATGCTTTCCTGAAAAGCTTCTGGAGAAGTCAGACTGTTAGCTGAGCTTGGACAGTGGATCTGGAAACAGGAAGGTGTGTGGAAAGCTGAGGGAGTTGGGAGTGAGCAGCTGCTGCCAAACAGAGCAAGGACAGGATGCTGCGTGTTACTTCCTGTGTGGTACCAGTGAAGTTACTTAAGTTCCTGAAGCTTCAGTTTTCTCACCTATAAAGTGGGGACAAGGATGCTTGCCCATGCAAAGCAACTAGTGTAGCTTTTTAGTATGATTTATATTTGGGAAACGGGATCACTTGCAATACACTCCCAACAGCTGAAAGCGTGGGAGTAAGATCCCAGGTATATACCACAGCCAAGCTACTGAACTACTTTAGAGCTTAACATGGATCGTTTGAAAATGAGTTCAGTCTTGTCTTTATTGTTGTTTTGAGACTGTATAGCTCAGGCTGGCCTTGGATTCTGTATCCTCTGGGAAGAAAGATGTGTACCACCTCTCTGTTCCTGTAAAAGGAGATTGATTAGTAGGTCCCTTGCAGAGCTGTTTGGAGACTTAATGAGGTGCTGTGAAGGTAGCTAGTGAGCTTAGCATGCAGTATGCTCTCAAACTCCAGCTACCGCGCCAGCCATTTCTTCTGCTGCTCTGCTTTCTCGCAGATACCTTCTTGGCTGTTATTTGAAGTCTCCCTTCCTTCTGCTATTCTCTTCATCTGTCTTCTTTCAACAGCATTTATCAGCGGTGGCCAGAGATGCTGAACACAGAGGCTTGGAAGAATGTGGAGGTAGAGTAAGTGGTTGGCACCACAAGTCCAGCCGAGCAATGAGGAGCAGATAAGGAAAGGGCAGCTAGACATACATAAGTACCACAGCAGCAGCATAAACACACAAGCACCCCTTTGACTGAGTCATCCTTATTAAGGCCACTGAGGGATTTTCTTCTTAAGAGGAATTTTGACCACACTGCTCCCTTGGTTAAATTTCTTCATCAACATGTTATCTCCCAGAGGGTAAATCCTTACTGCTTGAACTGCATTGAAATCCTTTCTGCTTTGTTGGTTGCCTGTCTTTCCAGACTTTCCCAAGGCACCCTGTATCTCTGCTGCTTTGAACTTTGTTTTCCTCGGGTGCCTTTACACATTATGAAATCTTCTTTTTCTATCACACAAACTTCTACTCATCCTTCAGGAACCCACTGACTGGGACTTCTGTGCCACCTCTGATTTCTTCAGAATGCACTGTTTTCTCTTTTGGGTTTCCAAAGTGTTTCTCTAGAACACCTGCCTATGGATATTGTCTTATAATGATTTATACTCTAGTTCTATTTCTTGCTCTAGTGTAAGGCAAATGGTCCCCAATTTACATGTTCTCAGTTTACACTCTGATATCTTCTATTATGGCACAAAAATGTTGTGCTCTTAGTAGAAGCTGTATTTCAAATTCCACATGCAGTTTCTCTTATCCAAGGTTAGCAGGCTGAGGTGTGGTGAATTCTGACCTTCCTGGCACGGCAGCAAGCCACAGCTCCGACTCAGTCACTCAGTCACAAGATTCTATAGCCAGGACCACAGAGTTGCTAAGCTTTTCTACTTGGTAGGTGAGGTGTATAAAATGCAGTTTTGGCTTGTAAGTTTTTAAGTCATGAGCTCATCGGGTTAAGTTCTGTCACAAGGTAAGGTACATGTGTACCAGATATCACAGTATTATATACGTCTAAGTTTGGTAGTCATGACAGTACATGATATGGAGCAGGCAGTAAAGTTTTTCATGCTAAATAAAAGAGGTGGTGGGCTCAGGGCTGATGATTTCTCAGGTTGCTAGCCAACGTCTGAGGATTACTATAAAGACACTGTCTCATAGATCTTGTCTTGTATGAAGAATTCAGAATGGCAAGGAACATTGTATTTTCCTCTCTCCATCAGGTCAAACAATGAATGGACCTTTTCCTTCAGAACACAATGACAAAGTTTCTAACATTCAAAACGAAACCTAATTTAAAAGTCCCATTAGTTTTCTTTCCTGTGGTGGACTGTTTCCCAGATTATCTAGTTTATAACTTTGGCAGAAGGTGCTGGTCTGTCAGTAGTGCCTCATCTCTGGTTTTCCTGAAGTGTGGAGACACCCTTTGCTTTGCAGTAGTGTGTGTCATGAGAATCTCCTATGGGCAGAACCATCAACACATTCACAATAAAACTGAATTTCCTGTAGCATATCCTTCTTACAATAAAACAATGTAACAATTCTCCTGATATTGTATAATTTGAAAGGGATGGATGGAAGGAAAATGGCGGGAGGTTAGCCTCCCACTCCTGGTTTATTAGCTCTGTGCTGTGTTTCATGCTTTATCAGGATCAAATTTCTTTCAGAAGAAAACTGGCTAATGTGGTCAGAGACATCTTTTGTTCGATCTGTCTCTGGCTATTTTGGGGGAGTAAATCAGCTTTTTTCTGCATACACTCTGCTTGTGAGCTGTAATAAGTGAGTGCATACTGCAGTGCGGTGACCTTCAGCCAACCAGAGAAAGACACCTCTTCTAATCAAAGGCAAAAGCCACGATCTTTCTTGTTGTAACTTACTGTTGACACAAGAAAGGCCAGAGAGATTGACATCAATCTCTATAGAAACCATTAACCAATGCTGAGTAAATCTGCAGCATTGAATCCATATGCATGCTTGCTTTTATTATTCTTGACCTATGGGCACACGTGAGCATTTTGTGGGCTTTGTTTTAAAAGGAATGTTTAAAATGTAGCTAGTTATTATGGGATTTCGTTGGTGAAATAAACTGTTTGGGTAGTCTAAATAAAGGAATCTGTATTATTTTGCATCTCCTAAGCATTATTTGCTTAGGTGTGGCTTGGTTTGATTCCAGATTAGCACACGGCAGAGAGGCTGTTGCTTTAGCTGGGTGTAGCAAAAACCAAGTAATTTTGTACATGTTTTCCAAATGATGTGCAAGTCCTGTGTCATTTGATTCTGTGACTTTTTTTTTTTTTTGCCTTCTATTCTTAAAAAAAAAATCCCTAAAGCCTCAACAATGACTGTGTTGGCTGTAAGGACATGTGTGTCTAAGAGTCTCTTAGATGTCCCAAACTCAGGTTGGTAATACTTGCCAGACAATTGGTGACCGTGTGCTTAGCAGAAACAGGCTCTGTAGTTAGAGCTTCGGTATTTGGAGCTCCTTTTCCTGACTCCCCCACCCTGAAATCTCAACTCTGGTTGAGGAGGGTGAGGAAACAAAAATGCTTTTCATTTCATTCTTTGCTGTACATTTTCCAGTTTGGGTGACTAAAGCCGGCCAGGGTGCCTATTTTTGGAAAGAGGAATTAAGATACTTTGGAGAAAGTACTGCACTGTGTGCTGGCATTCCAGATGGCCAAACTAGAGTAGAACCAAGCCCAAGGTTTTGAGGCTTTCGTGCCAACGATGACCTCATGAGGTCCAGCCTGGAGAAAGAGAGACATAGTTCTCCAACAATGATGGAGAATGGCTTCTTCCTTTCATATTTCTATTGAGTGATCTCCAGTGTCCTTCTCTTTTCCTGTCTCTGACAAAATTAGCCCTTTATAATTAACAATTGTTAGATTTTTGGCTTGTCTCTCCGACTTCTCTTAGAGCCCCTTTCACCCCATCTACCCATTGTGTCCTCTCTACCACACAGAAAAAACTGTGATATTTTTCTCTTTGGCATTCCTGTCTTTTCCTAGCAGGCTTTTCTAGTGGGGACTGTGGGCGATTTTACACTTGATTTGTTGAATCTGAACTCTTTGCTGTAAACTCTCACACACAGAAGGAGCTATCTTTATAAATGACAGAATGGACCTGGCCTGAATGGCGCTTTGTTTACTGTTTTCCTAAAAGGGGCCCCTCTATATTTCATCTGTCAAAGTTGCTTTTCTTTCTTTCAACAATGCTTGATTGTTTTCACAAAAATTCAGGTTCCATAGACAGGAGAATTCTGTATTATATTTTCCTGCCAAATTCCGATCTCTGTTTTCCTTCCCCTGTGCTCACAAAGGGCTCATAACTTACTGTCAACTGTGAGGCCGACCACAAAGCTCCACTGTTGCTCAGCAAATAGGCTCTATTGCATGATGGCTTGACTAGCTTGTAAAGTTTGCTTAACTGTAGCAGCAGTGGCAGAAGGCATGTGGGTGCTGCATCTCCCCACAGGCCAGGAGTCTTCACTTCTTCCATCGACTTTTATGCTTTTAACTCTTTTAATTGTTGAACAAAATTGACACTGCTTTGTTTAAGCAGCTTAGATGCTGTTTAAAACCATGGCTGCATTTGGTAGCCTGGGACTCAGGAGAAATTAATTAGCCTTTTTTTTTTTTTGGAAAAAAATTTATTTTTGTTGGCAGTTGGTGCTTTTTGTGAGTTGGGAAGGTGTCAAAGGGGTATGCCCTCGAGTTCTGAAGTTCTGGCTGATGTGGCAAGAGAAAGCTGGATTGAAGAGTGGAGGAACAGCTACTTCGTGTGAGTGATTTGTGCCTTTTAGCTGTCACAGGTCTTAACTGTGTTACTTTACCTTCTAATTTTCTAAACTTCAAAGCCTACCTGATTGGGTGGGAAGGTGGTGTGTGAGGAGCCGCCGCTGATGTCATGGTACCGAACTAATAACTTAAAAGGCATTTTTGTATGACATTTGTAATCTTCATAGGGAATTGTAAATTTTTTTTTTAAGATTTGATTTTCCTGGGGGTTTAATACACACACCTTTTTGGGGGTAATATTTATTAGATTTTTTTTTAAATGAGCACTTTCTTTTCCTTGTGTACTATAAGGTTCTGGTATATAATTATATAGGAAGAATCATAGAACTCATTCACGAACTCTTTGAGGAAGAGTTATCTGTGTCTCATTCCTTGCTGTTTTCAAAGGCAGCAGATGACAAGGGACCTTATGTGCAGTGGTAAAGATACCTTCTCTAATGAAAATATTTCATCGTAATAAACATTTCAAACAGACACAACTGACAAGCAGGCCACGGGGTAACTTCTGGAGCGTTGTAACTAAAGAACTTAAAATGGTCAATGCTCACAAACAGTTCTAATTAGGAAAGGCTGCTGTTCTACCAGGATTCACGGTGTCGAACATCAGTAAAGGTATTTTATATGAAATGCTAGTGAGTTGAATTGACTTCTGAGAAGTGCATTACAATAGTGCTTCAGTAATTCCTTTTACTTTAACCCCTTTTATTCTGTCATTTGTCTCTTCTACATTTTTTTTTTTCTGAGTAACATACACCCACAGTTTGTTCCCTGTAGTGCTTGGCAAAGTTCAAAATATTTATTTGTTTCTTTTCTTATCCATCTGCTCTAGAAACCTCTGTGTTTATGAGCTTGGTCCTCAGGCAGTTTATCCTTTTGGTACATTCAGCTTCAAATAATGTGAATAGGCACCCGAAGCTTCAGTGACTAGTGTGTTTGACTGAGCCCTAGTGAAGTACATCTATTTTGTAATAATGAAGTCACTAAAATTCCAAACAGGCCAGGTTGATTCTTTAAAGTAAATGGTGGTGAGAAGATAAACATTGTGTCTTCAGTCAGCTATGGCACTGCATCATGGCTCTTTGGAACATCTGTAGGAACTGGGTCCTCGACCTGATTTAGAAACAGAGAAACTGGCCTAAGATAAGAAACATTTTGGAGCATCTCATGTGAGGACAGGTATCACTGCTGCTCAGGGCATTGGTTTCCCTGAAAGAAAAGCAAGTGTGTGCTCTGAAAAGCACTCATGCATTTCAGGGAACATGGGTGGCTTAGACTTTCTATGTACTGTCAAGTTAATATAAGTACCGATGATGGAAGTTCTGTTTACCATAAGCTTTTTTTTTGTTTGTTTAAAAATCAATTCAAAATGAGCCTGAATGGGTTACGGTATCCAAATTCTTGGATTGCTTTTTTTGGTTTGTTTGTTATTGAAAATCAAGGAAAGAGATGAATAGTAGGAGGCCCCAATGGACAACCTGAGTCCCAGACTCTGCTTCTTCATTGGAAAACAGCTCTCAGTAGTGTGGTCAGTAGGATCTGGTCTTTCCAGTGTTAAGTCTGTCTTATCTGTAACTCTGCAGAAATGGTATGTGTGTGCCTGTGTGTATAAAATGTACTTTGTCACTGGCCCACTTATTGTGTCAGACAGACTGAGACTAGTCAAACTTTTATTGAGTGGAACTTTAAATGATTTCTAAAAATTCAGAATTTCTTTTAGAATTTTTATTGGCTTTATTTGGATCAAAATATTTTTCTTCTAAGTTTCATTTGAAGTAATTAAGCATTCTTTCCATTTCTACTAAATGCTAGGTTCTTTTACAGTGATTAGTTTAATAGTTACATCAACTCTTAAAGGCACACGAGTTGACCCTACTTGTATAAATGGGGATATGGTGGCTCAGACAGTTAAATGACTTCTCAAGTCCACAAGTCTATGGAGTGAGAGGTCTGAGATTTAAATCCCTTTTCAAAACCTTCCCACCATACCACAGCCTTCCATCTGGCAGCAGGTTCTGTTAAGACAGGTAAGGTTTTTCTAGTTTTAGGCACCACAGATACAAATTAATATGGCATCTTTAAAAGTCATCCTCAGAACTCTCTCAAGTCAGGTTTGGGAAGTCACAAGGCATGCTTTCATGATGGGGGCCTGTGACTATGAATAATATCTGGTTCTTTCTTACAGAGAACACCAGAGCTTGGGAAAGCAAGAGGTTCTTAGCTCGGTAGATGCAGTTAGACACTCAGTAAAGAGTCTCTTAATATGCAAGGCTGTGGGCAGCCACATTTGACTTTCAGAATGATAAGCAAAACAATTCTGTGCAGTGATTCATGGAGACAATTGGATTCTCATGTTCTCCTGGAGCTGTTTATGATAATATGTTACCAGCAAATGCAAGTGAGAAATTTACAGCAAATAGCTATAAGGGAGGTAGAGGGTTGCAGAGGTATGGAGGGGAAAACACAAAATAGTGGCACTTTAGTTATCTGCAAAAGCAGACTATTTGTGCATATTAAAAATGTGGAAATCTGTATTGCTGGTAAAATCTTTCTTCAGCTTCTACAAACAGTGACAGTTTAGAAAAATTCATGCCCTTGTGTTTGAAGCTTTTCTGCCTCTTTCCCTGGAAGTTAGAGTATATGTAATGTCATATTTAAGGTTTTAGGAGGTTGTTTCAGTTCCTGTGCTCTGCTTGAGATCAGCTGAGACAGTTGTGTCTAAGTGAATGTTGTTGAGCCCATCTCCTTCCCCCTGGCCCCTGGGCTCTCCTGACCCTGCTTTTGTAGCTGGTATAGCAGCAGGAGACATACCTTTTGAAGTGCTCCCAGCTCTGACCTGTGTCCTAAGTAGCTTCTGTGGTCACAGCTGGTGAGTAGAAATTGGATCTCATCCTCCTCTAAGCCTAGATATGAATGAGCAGTGATATCTTTGTATTTCACTATCAACTGCTTAAGTTGATATGAGGGTCATCAATGCTAGCCAGAAAATGTAAGCTAGAAAAGGATGATTTACACTAAGAAACAGTTCTTAGACTACAGCACACCTCCCAGCCTCCTGTACTAGAAGCTGTAATTAATTGCTCAACTGATTTTGCTGTCAAAGTACCTGGAGTGAGAGTTAGGGCGGCCTGGTCATCACCTCCTCTTCTCGCTTCTCCTTCCCCTCTTCCTTTTCCCTGCTCTTCTTCCTACTTAGTTACTCTCTGTTGCCAAGACAAAAACACTAAGACTAAGGCAACTTATAAAAAAATATTTTAATTTGGGGCTCACAGTTCCAAAGAATTAGGGTTCAAGACTACCACAGTAGGGAGAGTGGTAACATGCAGAAGGCATTTATGCTAGAGCAGTAGGTAAGAGCTTACATGTTGAGATAACCATGAGACACAGAGAGAGTTACCTGGGAATGGCTTAAGCCCACCTCGGAGTGAAACATCTCCTCTAATAAGGCCACACCTCCTAATCCTTCCCATACAACTCTACTAACTTTGTCTAAACATTCAAATATATGGCCAGTGGAGGCCATTCTCATTCAAACCACCACAGCACTCCTCTTCTTCCCCTGACTCTTTTTTCTCCTCCTTTTCAGTTCTCTCTGCCTGTCTTTATCTCTATCCCTTCTCTCAGTGGATATCTAATAATCAAACACCTCCAAGACTCGGATTAGAAATTATCTTTTGTTTGTTTTTGAAGTGCTAGGGATCAAATCCAGGGCTAGGAAAACACTCTGTCATTGGGTTATACTTCATGCCTAGAAGAAAACAAAAAAGAATGGATTAAAGTTTAAATAAGTGAAAGTGAGCATTTAGGGTACACACACACACACACACACACACACACACGCACGCACGCACGCAAGCACGCACGCACGCGAGAGAGAGAGAGAGAGAAAGAGAGAGAGAGAGAGGGAGGGAAGGAGGGAGGGAGGGAGGGAAAGAGAGAGAGAGAGAGAGAGAATATTCATAATGATACATGGAGGGACTATTTTAGTAAGGAAATATTCATGTGAATTGTAAATATCTAATAATTTATATTTCAAAAATCTTTAACTCTGATAGTTAAATCTACCCAGGAGTTAGACTGCCAGCTTTCACACTCTGTCCTCTGTTTGCCTGGTATGCTCTTTGGGTGAATGAGTGCTGTTTCATTTTCTCTTTGTCTTTTGTGACAAGGTTTTGGCCTCACAGTTACTATGTAGACTGAGAAAGTTTTGAACTTGAAGCTATCCTCCTGTTTCTGCCTACTGAATGCTAGGATTAAGGACATGTGTCTTCTCTCTCACTTGGCCTTATGCTTTATTTTTTAATAAGCAGATTTATTCTTTGGTTTCCTCATCCTTAAACAGTACAGTGATGCCACCTAACTCCTATTGTTTTCTGGGAATGTGAGCTCACACTGTATGTAGTAGCACAGAGCACAGAGTAGGGACTTTCTAAGCTTTTAGTGATTTCTCCAATGTCTATCTGTCTAACCATCCATTTACTATCTCATTTGTTCATCTTTTTAATGTTTCTGGAAACATAAATTAATGATTGGTTTGGCTTTTTAATTGCTCTTATGTTTAAAATTTGAAATAAATTTAATGGGCCAGGGCATGTGTAAAGAGTAGACATTTAATTGAGTATGGAGGTTTATTTAGAAGCTTTATTTTAAATCTTTGGTTATGGCTACTGTGTTTCTGGTTAGCTAATACCCTACCAGTTTCTCCTTACTTATTTAATGGCATTTAAACAACTGAGTAATATTTACTGATGTTGTCTTTATACCAAATATTGTACTAGGTTGGCACCATGGGATACAGAGAAACATGGAATTTTGTTCTCTTTCTTGGAAACTCTAGTTTTATTGAGATAATTTATATAATTGTTTATAGTCTATCGTTCTTTCATTAGAAAAAGGTTGTGAAATATTGAATAAACACTGTGAGAATAACTTCCTTAGAGCACTTCTTGAGAGTTAGGACCAAAGTCCTGGGGATGGTCCCATCTG